GAAGAGCTACGCAAGTCAGAAAGCGTCCCGGGCCTCAAAAAACAGGATCACGAAACCACGGGGGAAATCGGGCGAAGCCACGGGTCAAAATGCGGCCACGTGGCTTCGAGTGGGAAACTGACCCATGGAAACGGGGCAAAGGGAGGCGCGACGGCGGCGCAGCTCCTTGTGCAAAATCAGCCTAGGAGAAACTTCCTGACGGAACGGAAGCCATCCCCTTGCGGGCGGGCGGCTGCCCCTGGCTGGAGGTCTCCAAGCAGAGCCGGCCGGCCATCTGCCAGGAACACCCTTCCTCAGGCCGCCTGCCCTGGCCGTAGCATCGGGCGAGAGGGCCTAAAGGGCCCATTCTGCTCTATGATTCCATGGAAAGCTCTCGTCTGAATGGAATAGTGCACTGATTTTTCTCCCCTCCTCCTCCTCCCCCTCCTTTCCAATATGAAAAGCAGTTGGTGCGCGTGAGCATACGTACGCGCACACACACTGTATGAAGGGGCCAGTCAAGCCCAGTCTCCGTTGGCCACAGGCACACAGAGAGAGAAGGGGGGGCACGTGACCCACGGCCAGGGCACAGACCTGCCTTCTGCTTCCCCTCAGAGGGGACCCACAGGGGGGGGGGCAGAAAGGTTCCCTCTGCTGCTGCCCTGCTGCTCTGGCCAAGCTCATCATGAGCTCATCCCCTAGGGTTGAATCCGGGGGGGGGGGGGGGGGTGGGCCGGGGGTAGCCTTGTGGCAGGTGACCATCCCAGTGACCCCCCACCTCTGCCATGAACTCGGCAAAGTCCCTTCCTGGCCCCTTCAGCCCCTCGCACAGCAGGAGCAAATCCAGCCTGGGGACTGTGAGGGGGGCGATCACAGTGCAGCTCAGGGAGCAGGACACACTAGAAGCAGGCGTCACTTCCTGCCTGGCTGGTGCCGCGGCACTGAACACCACACCACACCACACCACACACCCCGCCCCGCCCTATCCACACGAGAGTCCCACCAGGAGCGCGAGGGTATCCCCGAGGCAGAGGCTGGAGGTCTTGCTTGGGCAGGGAGGAAGGCACTGGTGCCACAGCCACTTGCCTTGGCCGTAGGCTTCGCCCACCACTGGCTTCAGATTGTACTCCTTCCCAGCCTGGTAAATGGTGCCGCCGTCCAGGGTTGCAACATCTGCCAGGCTTGCCTGTGTGCAAAAGAGGAGGGGGGTGTTAAGAGGACAAAGGGCTAAGAGCCCTGGCACACACACACACACACACACACACACAGCTATCGCAAACCCCCCCACACACACACACAACCTGTGCACTGGATAGGGCTAATTTCAGAGCGCAGGTTGTGTCTAAGAGGCCCTTGCCCTGACTGGGACCTTGTTCCCCGGCCCGGCCACCATCCCTCTGGAAGCTGAGCACATCCCAACCCACCGCACTTCTGTGCCCCCCCCCCCCGGCGCCCTGGAGCCTGCTGCCACCCACCGCAAGGGCTGGTAAAGCGGCTTCCGCCGGCCCGGAGGAACGTGTTGGCCAGACTAGGCGGTCTGAACAGGGCAGGGCGGCTATTCCCCACCTCTGCCTGATCGGCTTTGGGGGTGTGGGGCAGCCACCTCAGTCTGGTGCGTGGGAGTGGGGGGGGGGCCTTGCAGAGAGGCAGCAGAGTGCAAAGATGCCAGGACAGCATACACAAGACATCCACGCGTTGAAGCGATGCACCCACCGACTTAACACCCACAGGCTAGAAAGGCAGCCAGAGAGGCCACCGAACACCCTCTGAGAGGAAGCCTCGAAAGAACGTACGAAAAGCCCCGCTGGTCCATCCAGCCCAGCATCCTGTTGCACAGTCTAGCGGCCAACAAACAGAGCACAGAGGCCGAGGCCTCCCCCTTGTAGACGTTGCCGCCTCCTGGCCCTGGGATCCAGCCTTTACTGCCTGTGGACGTGGAGGTTGCCCTCAGTTGCATCTCGGATCCTTAACGTTCCTTCCACCCATCTTCACTCCACCTTCTTCTAGCCCTAATCCAGTTCCCCTCGTGACACATTCTCTGCATACAGACTGAAGAGACAATCCACAGGGAGGGCCGCCAAAAGTTGGAAGCGACTTGACAGCACTTCACACACACACACACACACACACACACACACAGAGGCTAAAAGCTCCCGTGTGTCTCCGGTCACACTCAGGCTTCACTGACTGCCGGAAGAGGAAGGGAAACAGGAGCTTCGACTTCATTCATCTGTGGGGCAGCCTGGTTATCACACGGGAGTGTTTCTTTTTACTTGGTAGGCAGAAGGGCCAGATATAAACTTGAGCAAGTCAATAAATGACTAGCCCACAGAACTGCTGGGTGGCTGTCCTCTGCATGTGGGGCTGAGTCAAAGGGTCTTCCGGTCCCTCGAATCCTTGCTGCATCAGCAAATGGGATCCATCCACGACGGATGCCAGCCGGGCCAGGAGGGTGGGCACGACTGTCCCGGAGGCTTGGAGGATGCGGGCTCCCCTCGTGACAGGACACCTGCCCTTGGCCTGTGTGGCACCTTTGGGGGGGGGGGTGTCTGCACTGCACTTTGCTCCCCTTATCACCCCAGGAGATGGCAGCGCAGTGGCGGGGCAGTGCTCTTGCTGGAAAAAGAGCCCTTCACAGGAGTGGAGCCCTCCCCTCCGGAGTCCTTTGCTCCAAGGACAGAGTCCAGAATCCA